CGGCGAAGCCTGAGCGGGTTTTGTTGAGGTGGGAGAGAAATCAGCCTTTACTCGCGGGAAGGTCGCATGTGATGGGTTTGTGTCCCCAAGCGAAAGGCACTGTCTGAAGCACAGCGTGGAGCAGAGATATGCTGAGAAGCTGGGGGTGCCCCCTCCCTGGCAGTGTTCAGGGCCGGGCTGGCTGGGGCCTTGAGCAGCCTGGCCTGGGGGGAGGTGGCCCTGCCCATGGCGGGAGCGTTGGAGCTAGGTGAGCTTTAAGGTCCCTTCCAACTCAGTCCATTCTGTGATTCTCTGATTATGCCAGTCTTGAAATAGTGCTGTAAAAAGGTGGGGTTTTCCTAGCCTGTGGGGTGGCAGTGCTCTGCTGCAGCTGCCTGGGCACCTTGCCCATTGCAGCAGTATCCATATAAGGTGTTTAGTTGCTAAACACAGAGCTTGAGTTAAGGAATTTCAGAAATCCTACGCATCACTGCTGTATTTTGTGAGTTTTTAGAGAGATTGGACACTTTACATATGCATAGCCTCAGATAACTTGATAGCACGTTTCAAGAGAGGGTTGATATAGCCCATAAACCATGTTTGTGTGGCTGTCTCTAAATAGAACATATGAGTCTTCAAAAGGAATGTTTACCTCCATGCTAATTTGACTGTGACCTTATGTGACCTTATCGTTTCTTTTTTAAACCTACTGCATAGCTAACTCTGTATTTTCCAGGCACTATGGAGGAAGTAAAAGAAATGGCAGCACATTGCTCAGGTGATATGCTTGAAGACAAACTGAGTATTTGTGCGAGCAATGGTAGGTGGAGAACATGTTGGGTTATCTTTTTACCTAATATATCCCGTATTAAAAGTTGAGACAGTTCACATCAGTAGACCTGTATCTGCTTTCTGTCTTGTTCTGTGTACCTGTTTCCTTGCAAGGGCCTCTCTTGCCAGTCTCAGAGTTAAAAGTTGCTTCCAGACTTTGTGGAGCACTGGTGCTAGAGCATGTGTAGTAGAGACATGATGTCTATCTAATCTGAGCTCCTCGCTCTTCCTTATCTGTCTGCAGCAGATTCAATTAATATTCCATGTATAGAAGAAAAGAAAACTAATCTTTCTCACTGGCTCCTGTTATTCTGTGGCAGTCTGAGTGGGGAAAAGAACTGACTGATGGGACAGCTGCATTGTCATATAGCTCTACATTATATATTCTTACTTTTTTGAATTGTAGGCTGCCGATACCCTTGCCCACAGCCAGTTTCCATGTTCCTATTATAGATACTTAGAAATTAGTGTTGAGATATTTCATGATATTTAAGCATCTATCACAATTATGATCATATTCACAGCTGTACCTTCAATTTTTGACCTTAGACTTTTTTTTTATCAGTTTAAGCTTGGGAACTAAAAGTCTCTTCATCAGCTTCACTAAACTGTCAAAGCATAATGCAATATTTTTTTTTATTGCACATCCCCACTGTGACAAAATCCTTGTTGTAGTTTCAGACTTCCCTCTTCTGACTGATGAAAAGTTTGATTTTGACATTTCACTCTCTCCGGCAAGGTAAGTGAAAGGTCTACAAGTAAATAGACCTTTAAAATGGACATGTGTAGGGTGCTGGGCTGACTTATTTTGTTTTGTAGTGAAAATGAAGATGAAGTTTTTGTTGGACCTTTGGGACACAAAGAAAAATGTATTGCTGTAAATATCGAAGCAAAAGAAAGTGCTGAAAAAAAGAATGCACCTGCTTTTGATGATAAAGTCCTGTGGAGCCCACTTACAGGAGAGAAATTTGTAGAAATTTTTAAAGAAGCTCATTTGTTAGCACTCCAGATAGAGACTGAAAGCAAGAATGAACAGACTAAAATAAGCCAGTCAGAAGAACAGGAAAACAAGATTGTAGAAAAATTTGCGGAGGACTCAAAGTTAAAATTGAAAATACTGACAAACCAAAATATAGAGAAAAGTCCCAGGGCTGCTAAAAGGGAGACATACTGTGTGTGGGACAGCAAAGCATGTCAGCTGCCACCTTGTTTTCAGAAGGAATCAGATAAACTTTTGTCAGATGATAAAACACATGCTCTTCATACTCCTCCAAACAGAAGCCCTATTAAAATTCTTGTATCTCCTACGAAAACCATCACTTCACCTCCGACACAAGAACAGAAAGCGAAAGGAAGTAATATGAAGGCAACAGGCAAACTGCCAATGGCAAGACCTTCATCTACTCTTGGAAAAAGCAATTTGAGTATTGAAAAGGTAAAGATGGCTTCTGGGCAACAACCTTTTCTTTAAACAGGGCCTATGTGTGTTTTAGGAATGTTTAAACTGTCTACAAGCTTTTGTTTTTAAAAGGGAACTGTAATCTTCTGATGGTTTTCTACCTCCTAAGATCTTTAGACAGGAAACATTATTATATACAAAAAAAGAAAAGTCAGGGCAGCTACTGTGGTATAGTAGCCAATCAGCTTATCTGTTACCACAATGTAGGGCATGTGCAGGGAAATTTCTTTTCCATTGTATTGTGTTTCATTCCTGGCTTCTGTTTAAACACTGTTTTGGTGTAGTGATTTTACCAGCAGTTGTCTTAGTGACCTTATGTGCAAATATGGCTTTGTTTATTGTTAACCCTTGTCAGTTGAGGTGAGAGAGGAAAAACCCCACAATTGTTTTGATAGGACAATAAAAACTTTTAGCTCTAGTTTTGTCCACAGCTGGTGTCGATCATGAAAAGCACTGATGAGTGGTATTATGTTTAGGATGTGGCTATGTCACCAGCTGGAAAGGTATTCTAGGACCACAAGGAAACCGTTGTGTTTGTTAATGACCTTGTGTGCAGAAACCCCAGGCTCTAGACAGAATATCTTCTGGATTTCATTGCTCTGTACCTTATGGCTTAGGCTCCAGCGTGTACGCACGTTTTACTGACAATGTGGTATTGGCTTCTTGGGAATCATGACATATAGAATATAGGGCACCATTTGATGCCTTCATGGTATAAGTTGTCTTGATTTTTGCGTGCTGTAAGAAAAGGCACAGTCTTAGTGCTTTAACTAGCCAAATTTTACCCTCCTGTCTAAACAGATGGCTTAGATGATGTAGTCTGCTGTAGTGTCTCATCTTCTAGGAAGCTGGAGTAAAGCAGAAGAACACGAATTAAATGAAGATCTCATAGTTGTAAGGAACAGCTGTTACAGTATGTAGGTGAACATGATTATATGAAATTTGTGCTGTTGAATTGTTGCACATCTGTCCTTAGGTTAATGTCCAATATCTGGTTTCAAGCATATTCTAGTATTTAGCAAATACTAGACTAACTTTAAACTATATTAGTCTAAAGACTGGGTTCAAAAACTTCATCATGGACTGTTACCTGGTTTTATTCAACAAAATCAATTTCTGTAAAAAGCTTTATAGTGGTTTATAGAAATGCTACTAATTTTCAAACTGTTTTATTGAAATTTTCAGCCCAAACCAGGAAAACATACTAGTATTTCTACAAAAAAAGACTTGAACAGCATAGGATCATCTGAAGAACTAATTTCTGATAAATCTAGTGCTGCTTCAGATGTCTTTGATTCTTCGTTCAGTGGCAGTTCCTCAGTGCAAGACAAAAAAGCCCTTCCTGCACCAAGTAAGGTAATGCAAAACATTCTTAATATAAAAATATTTTTTCTTACGTTCTGATAAAAAGAAAAAATGAATATAGTTTACTTTCTAATGTAAAGCTATATTGTTTTGTATAGTGTGTTTAAGGAAAAGTAGTCTCTGTTCTGTAACTGCCATTCTTGAATGTGTATTCTAAGTCTATAACACAGTGAACGTACTTAAGAGCAACTATAAAGGCATTGGATTAACAAGCATTACCTTTGTTTTTAAAGCATTAGCTGCAGATAAGTGATCAGCAATTTTCTGTAAGAAACAAAATTTTTGAACTGTCTAGTTAACTATATCATATGAAAAGGCTGCCATAACTTGTATGAAGGTAGAAAACCTAGAGCTGTCAGGAGTTGTTCTGAAGGTCAACACCTGCCTCCACGCTGCGTGCCACTGCATTGAGTCACAGAACGGTTGATGTTAGAAGGAATGTCTTGAGGCCATCTGGTCCAACCTCCTGCTCAAGCAGGGCCACCTAGAGATGGCTGCCCAGGAATGTGTCCAGGCACCTTCTGAGTCAAGAATGGAGAGTCAACAACTTCTCTGGGCAACCAGTGCCAGAGTTCAGTTACCCTTGCAGTAAACAGTGCTTCCTGGCGTTCAGAGGTAGAACCTCCTGCGTTTCAGTCTCTGCCTGTTGTCCTTTCAGATATTTGTATATATTGGTGAGATCTACCTTGAGCCTTCTCTAGACTGCGCAGTCTCAGCTCTCTAAAACCTTTCCTCAGACGAGAGATGCTCCAGTCCCTTAATCATCTTAGCAGCCCTTTGCTGGGCTTTTTCCAGCAGCTTCAAATTGCTCTTGTACTGGGGAGCCTGAAACTGGACACAAATGTGGCCTCCCCAGTGGTGAGGAGAGGGGAGGGATCATCCCCTCTTATCTGCTGGCAACAGGATGCCGTTAGCGTTCTTTGCTGCAAGGGCATGCTGCTGGCTCACTTCAGCTTGTCCACCAGCACTCCAAAGGGCCTTTTCTGCAAAGCTGCTTTCCAGCTGGTTGGTGCTCAGTATAGACTGGGCTTGTTCCTTTTGCTCTTTAATCCCTCAAAGTCCACACTCAAGTTAGCGGCAGGAATAAAAATGACAGTCGGCCTCCCAGATATGATGCTGCAGTTCTGTGTAATAACCCAAATATAACGAACTGTTTGTAAGAAAATTCAATACTTGTAACTGTAATCTGAGGAAGGAGTTTCTCTAAAATTCACAAACAAAAAGCTATAATACCAAGAAAAAAACATGGTAAAATGTGTAAAATAGTTTTATTTTTGCTTTTGAATAAACTATACTCTCTGGTTCAGATTGGCTTAAAGAAGACAAGACATTTGAAACTTCCTGGTGTTGCCAGTGGTCTCACAAGAATGACTACTTCTTCCTCTTCCTCAACATCATTTTCCAGCGTGAACTCAAGTCTGAATTCAAGTTTACCCATTTCTCCCATAGGAAAAAATGGTAAACATTCTTCCTACACATTTGTGTTACAAATCAGTTTTGAAGTAGCTATGCATGTCTACTTAAGGGAACAAAGACAACTATGCTGGGAGAAAATGTTGAGAATGTAACTTAAATCTGCAAACTGTCCTGGTATTCCTTGAAGAATATTCTTTAACTTGATTGCAGTAATTTCAGAAATTTGGTGAGGAGACTTTCTAAACCAGGCAAAGTTTGCAGGATAATTGAGAGAATAAGCTTTCAGTAGTTGTATTTATTCTCCTAAAACTGGAGTTGTTTGAACACAAATTGAAGTGCTGTACATCACACTTTCCCATGTAAGCGTAATTGTTCTGCTTAGTTAAAAACTTAGCAATAAGCAGTGATTCAGAAACATAACTTAACTTTCTATTTCAGAGAAATCAAGCTTGTCCTCCAGAGGTGGTGTGAGTGCCTCTAAGCTTTCATCTGGTACAAACAGGCTGGCTCTTCACAGACCTACCAGAGTGCCATCTCTGCAGGCTGCCGATGCTGATAAATCTAGGAAGCAAGCAAGATCAGCCAGTACTCCCAAAGTATCTAGTGCTGTAAGCTTGACTAAATCTTCAGCTGCTGCAACATCTGAGGCCGTAGGCAGTGGGATTCAGAGGCCGAGCTCTGTTCCCAGTCTGCAGCAGCTCTGTCAGCAGGATAAAGAAGGAAGTGCAACAACAGGAAGCCTGTGTCCGAAACCCAAGGCCAGAGCTTTGTCTGTTCCGAGTCAAACTAAGGTCCCGGTGAAGACTGGGGGTAAGCACTTACTTTGCGTGACCTGTCTTATAGCTTGGCTATTAAAAGCAAATGTTACTTATTATTCGTTTCATTGTGCTTCTACCCACCTCTTGGAAGGAATTAGTGAAAGATACTGAAAAAGATACTGAAAGGTATCTCTTATTTAAAAAAAAACAAAAAACCCCACATGTAAAGCAATGAACCAATCTTTTCTCTCTAGATACGCCATCAAACAAATTCACACCAAAAGCAACACAATCTCTTGGATTAACATTTTCTGGCACACTTGGAAGGTAAGGCTGAACTGAAAATTGAATGCACTGAGCCATATTTCTTAATGCACTGTGGTTGGATGTTGCAACAACCTTTAGAAGTTCTAACTTCATATTCTCTAGTCCCTTGAGACCCTCCAGGTTAGCTGTGTTAATGCCTGTTGGAACTGATTTAAAAAAATTTAAACCGAAAAAACCCAGCCAAAACCCAGAGCTAAACCAAACTCCCCTCCATCTCTTCAGAAAAGGGTTTTCTTTGCAGTGCTAAGTAGACTTGAGTCACTCATAAAAGAATTGTTATAAAGTACAGCCCTTACTATGCTATAATTATCAATTTTATGATAATTACTGTTCCCTTACTGTCCAAAGGTAAACTGATTTCTGTTGTTTCGTTGACTAGCTTGAATAAAACTGTTTCTAGAAGCTTTTGGCTAATGCATGTTGGGGTTTTTCTCAGTGCCATAGCAGTCAGCACTCCTGTGAAAACCTCAGAAGATGGGATCTTTCAGAGACCTGTCTCCATGACTCCTGCCAGCCTGAAACGGTCTGGCTTACCTACTCCTGTTCGTCGGATCTCAGGATTTCCAGCAGTGACTCCTAAAACTGTACCAAGAACAGCATTATCTCCACCTGGTGCATTTGTTCACCCAAGTTCCACCTTTTCTACCAAAAAGACTCTTACGGCTGGGTAAGACAGAAATCTTTGTATATGAAATACATCTTGTAGGTAAACTGCCTCTAGATGAATTTTGATGACTTTCAGGTTCTAAGGACCTCTGATACCTGATAAATGTTAGAATGAAGCATTTGAGCATAGATGCTCTATAGGCCTAACAAGATTTATATCCTGTGACTAGTAAAATACTAGTAAGCTGTAATGAAATGAGTAATATATAACTTTAAAGAATTATAAACTCTAATAGGAAGTTATTTGCATTTCTTGAGCCAGCAGACGTGTATCTGATGATGTGGCTGAAAACAGATTTGGCGTTGAGGTTGTTTTCCCGTTGCCTTCTGATGAAGGGAAGTAGCTGGTTAAAAATACACATTACTCAACTTTGTTTTATACTGTTGCCAACGCTTCTGTAAAACTAGACCTTGTTAAAGCATCAGTGAAAAGCCAAGGTTGACTGAACTTTTAGTTTCTGAGCAAACTTACCTATGTTTCATTTGAAATAACTGCTTGCAGAATGGGTGACTCCTACACTTGTTAATTATTTTGATTTTCTGTGAAAATGATGTTGGACTGATAATATGAAGAATCTCAGAATGATAGGGGTTGGAAGGGGCCTCTGGAGATCATCTAGTCCAACCCTCACTGCCAGAGCAGGTTAACCAAGAGCAGGTTACACAGGGTGGTGTCCAGGCAGGTTTTGAATGTCTCCAGAGGAGATTTCACCACCTCTCTGGGCAGCCTGTTCCAGTGCTTTGTCTCCCTCAAAGTAAAGAAGCTCCTCCTTGTGTTTAGATGTTACTTTCTATGTTCAAGTTTGTCCCTGTTACGTCTTGTTCTGTCACATGGCGCCACTGAAAAAACACTGGCCCCATCCTCCTGACACCCACCCTTTAAGGATTTATAATCATTAATAAGATGCCCCCTCAGTCTTCTACAGACTAAAAAGGCCAGTCTTCTACAGACTAAGAAGACCAAAGTCCCTCAGTCTTTCTTCATAAGAGAGATGTTCTAGTCCCCTCATCATCTTCATAGCCGTTTGCTGTACCCTCTTCAGCAGTTCCCTGTACTTCTTGAACTGGACACAGGACTCCAGATACAGCCTCGCCAGGGTGGAGTCGAGGGGGAGGATGACCTCCATCGACCTGCTGGCCACCCTCTTCTTGATGCACCCCAGGATGCCATTGGCTGCCTTGGCCACAAGGGCACCTTGCTGGCTCATGGTCATGCTGTTGTCACTGAGAACTCCCAGGTCTTTCTCCATGGGGCTGCTTTCCAGCAGGTCAGCCCCTAACCTGTACTGGTACCTGGGGTTGTTCCTCCCCAGGTGCAGTACCCTATGCTTGCCCAACTCTCCAGCCTGTCCTGGAAGGCGGCACAGCCCTCTGGTGTGTTAGCCACCCATCCCAGTTTTGTGTCATCAGCAAATTTGCTGATGGTACATTCTGTCCCTTCATCCAGGTCATTGATGAATATATTGAATGAAGCGGGACCCAAGAGGGCAACATCTTCTCACAAGTGCTTTATCTATGTATGCAGGCTTGTTTCATGGTTGGTGATGAGCAAGTATTAAAGCAAAAAAAAAAGCTAGAAAACTCCTACTGTATGCCATGTTACCTAGACTATATTTCCAAAAATAGTCTTTTCTCTCAAGGAAAGACTTGCTTCCTCTAAAATTACTTTGTTACACTAACCGGATTACAATCCCTGGTCCCCCAGCTCGTGTCAGTACTTCCTTTCAGCAGAGGCTCAGGTGGGTTGTTCAGTGATATGCAATATCAGTTCTTGTTTCCTGGTTGTTTCTTCAAAGTCTAAGAAAACCCAAAATCCCATGTGTGAAATTTAGGATGTGTATATGTATCAATTTAAGACTAAAACGAGGTTAGGGCATGGGCTTGTCTTCAGTAGTTCATGGTGATTTAAAGAACTCAGTTATGGCCAGTGTTCTTTTCCCCAGTTCTAAACAGAAAAAAGAGAGTAAGAAACAGATCTCTTCTTCAGAAGATGAAATATCTCCTCCACCTGTGCTACCTCTTGCGCTTAACTTCTCACCAGAACAACCTGATGCAGAAACAGTAAATGAATTAAAAAAGACTGAAGTACAAAATCAGGTGGCTGAAGAGAAACAAACTGAGGTAAGAAATGACAATATCTTTTTCTGCAGAACTACTAAGTAAACTGCTTGAGAATAAATTATTATATGATGAGCAATAAGAAAACCAGTACATGTGAAGTTAAAATGGCTTAACTTTAAGCGTTTGCACCCTCTAGTGTCTATTTTTAGTACTGAACAGCTTGCTCAGCGTTTCCACCAAGTTTGTTCCCATCTCAAAGCTTGAATGGTCAAATACCTGCAGATTTCATATTAAATTTCCACTTCTGGATATAACTGCTGTGAAATCCTTGTGGATTTAATTAGAAAAGCAATCACAGGGCAGTTCCTTTTGCAGCCATAAAGCCACTTTGGAAAAAAAGAAAAGCATTGCTGTAGCTAAACTCAATCACCTAACAGCAGTGCAAATGTGCATATGAGTGGGGATTACACCCCAACGCCCATGTGGCAGTAAACTTAGTGAAGTGCTGTGTACTTAGTCCAGTGAGTACTCAATCTTTCCCTCCTCCAAGAGTCTGCTGGCTTCATGTGGAAAGCTGGCATTCCACAGGCCTTAAGGAGAAAGGACTGAACTGGTAGTTCTGAAATACTAACCTGTCAAAGTGACTGTTGATTTACAGATATGCAGGGGAAGAGTAACCTGTAGCTTAACTGATGTTTTACACTGGCATTTTCCTTGTCATTGTACT